TCATCAAATTGTTTTCAAAGTTCCAACATAATGATTGTACAAACTGCTACTTCGGTCAATTTTGTATTTAGATTAAAACCTATCAAATTCAAAATACGAATCGTTTTTTAATTGGTTAGTTTTTTAGAGCAATGTTTTCTGTTTTATCTTCCACGGCAGATATTAAGAATTTTGCACTTTTAGAAGTAATGATTTTTTTATCGATGTCGACTTCCATTGAAACTAGCTCTTTAGTGAAAACACATAAATGAGCTTTTACTTATTGTAATACCTCAGTTTATACAGAATTCAGTGCTCTACAATAATATTGAATTGAAACAACTACGAACTGTGCAAAAAAAATGCTATTTCGCTTACCCCAGAAGGAAAATATATTCGAAAATAGCGAAAAATTCTGATACTAACTAACACAAGAACCGCTTCAGGTGTCCACTTGCTTTTCGACAGAGACAATGTTCATTTGATGAGTAATAGAAAAGGCTAGGATAGTTTGGATTTTTTGGACCTTCATTCTTGACATATCGAAATTTTACTCGGCTTTTCAACAGAAAGTTGTGGTTTTCCTAAGATCGCATGAAAAATTGACTTTATATTTTGTGCGAACAAAGTTCTCAATGCAATTAGTTGATTAGAAAAGTTATAACTTATCCAATAAACCAATCTCATTAAGAACTTTGTTCACAGAAAATTTAAAGTCGATTTTCTCCACGTGACCGAAGAGAACCACAGCTTTTTGTTGAAAAAACCCAGTAAAATTTCGATATCTCTAGAATGACTTTTCTATTACTCTTTAAGTGAACATTGTCTCGACCGAAAAGTTTCCTCGAAAATTCTAACCCAAATCAATTATCTTTTAGTGACCGAAAAATGGGCGAATATTTTGTGCTAAAGACTTTCGCGTCATAGATAGTTTTGATTCATTATGTAATTATATTTTCTCGATTTAGTTAAGTTCAAATACATACAACTACAATTTGTTTGATAGTTCTAGCGACTCGCGAAGGTTCTATTCGATATCGATCATGCATACCAAATTCTGCCAATAAACTTCTTGGATGCGTTCTGTATTAAAATAAAATCAAAAGTCAAATAAAATATGATTATATATATATATATATATGTCGTGTCGAAGTTAATTTGGATTCATCTAGTAATAAATAATTCACTTCATTAAATATCATACTGTTGAATATATAATCAAAAATAAATTGTTCTAAAGTAAATATTCATTTATTTAAAGAATATTCTTAAATAAATGAATATTTATTTTAGAAAAATTTATTTTTGATTATATATTCAGCAGTATGATATTTAATAAAGTGAATTATTTATTGATAGATGAATCAAAATTAACTTCGACAACGATCATCGTCGAAGTTATAACTTCGTCGACCGGTGTAACTTCGATACGACATATATATATGTATACCCATTGACACAATGTGCTGCAGTTATTAACCATCTTGTATTGAGAATACTCGCTATGATATTCAAGAAAAATATATTTGTCAGATTAAAAAAAAAACCAGAAAAATAAAAATAATCTGACCTCCACAAAATTGACCTCGATTACTAAGAAGAACTTGCCATGGATGACTATGTGCCAAAGCTTGTCGACCACCAACAATCCGACTAGAAATTTCATTATAATATCGATTTCCATTGGTCCATGTTAAACCACATTCTGAAAATAATGAATTTTGATTATTTACATATTTTTCTAATGATAAAATTGTCGATGTTAATAAAGTCGAAGGTGTACTACTAGGTAGTTCTAAAAAAGAAAATATATGTTTCAAATAAATAAACAAAAATAATAAACATACGTGGAATTTGAATCAATTGATATTTCATAAGAAAATAAACATCAAGTTTTGGATCAATAATACGAAGTTCAATCATTAACATTTGTCCAATACCACCAATACGTACATGATGACGATCACCACAAAGTTCAATTTTTTCATGTTTTAATCCTACTGTCCATAAATTAATAGATCCACGATGACAACCTATATGTAAATATTCTTTTATTGATATTGGTATATATATCGATTCAAATTCGATAATAATTTTCTACGTAATCAAAAGAGAAAAAAAAAGAAATTTTATCTTAAAAATGACGACAAATAAATAAAAATTTACTACCTCATCATGAAGAGAACTTGCAATCAACCATTGACAATGGAGAGGCAATCCAGTATACATTATAATAGTTTTATTGACAATAAGAATACCACTCTTATCGGTAAAACTATGTAACAATGGACAATTAGATAAAATAACATTCGAAATGAAATTTATTATTATGATTATTATTAACACTAAACTTTTGCCTAATATATTCAAATAATAAATTAAATAAGACTTTTAAAATTGATAATCTTACCACCGGGCGTTAAAAATATCATTTTGTTGATAATGATCGAAATTTATTTGAACTATCTTGAATCTTAAGATCATTATTGTGGGTTTTTCTTTTCTAGGCTTCAACAATGAATAATTACCCTTTTTCTCAATGATAAAAAGTATTTTTCATGTAACCTTCAAATAAAAGATGAAAGAACAAACATTTATTGATGTACATATGACAACAAAAATTCCTTGTACTACCATTAAAATTTTCAATGTATCATAGTTTTTCATAACAGAAAATATTATAAGGCGATTATATTGAATTCTTTTCATGTAACCTCAATCGAACAGGTGTGTTTATTTGGTTTCTTCTCTTTATCCGATTGAGTATACAATAGAAATATTTATGCAAATGATCACATCTTAACAAATAAGTCTGTCTCCTTCTTAAATCATCTACGTTTTATCGTCTCAATTATTTTATTACATTGAAACATACATATGTATTCATACAGAATGGAATTGAAGGTTCTTTCTTTTTTCTCGGCTGTCATCATCATCAAATGTCATATTATGATAAGCAACGAATAGTAATTTGCTTTTATGAAGGATTGATGAAGTAATATTAATAATAATAATCATGTTTGAAATATCGAATACTTCAATACATCATCAATATGATAGTGCCGAATACGAATGCACAATTTAAATATATATGTGTAAGTTTTTTTTTTCTTTTGCAATCACATTGCTTTCTTTTCTGTCTCATACTCTTTTATTCTGAATATACATATATATATTATGATTGCAAGTTTGTGCCCCTACAAACTTAAGTAGTCAGTTGGTTTGTATGTGCTCAATTTGTTGCTTATAGGTTGTCTCTTATTCTCCCTCTCTCTTTTTCATCAAATGTAAGCAAAGAATGTATATAAGGCGTTTGCCTAGCACCAATAGCCGGTCATTGACTCACACCGACATCGTCTTTCTTCCTCTCTCTCTCTCTCTCTCTTTTTCTTTACTATCGATGATAAAAGGGTTAATCTATATGTGTGCTGTTACAACCTTTTTACCTCTTGCGTGGTAGTAATAGTTGGTATACAAGAGAAAAGAGAGAAAAAAAACGAACGGAAGGACGACGACCAAAAACAACCGATAGCAATATGCACACAAAGAGTCAGTTGCTTGCCTGCCCACTCCATTTGTCGACCTAACAATGATTATAATTTGATCGTTCGGGTTCAATTTTTCTTCTCTTCTTTCGCTGAGACAGCGGTGTTAGTAATGATGATGATGATGATGATGATTATTCCAAAGTAAATACACTTTGACTCTTTCTCTTTTCGTTGCCTTTCCCTTATGTTTAGATGGACAATGTATATTTATAAAGAATTGAGCAAATTGTTCGTAAGCTTATTAAGTTTTTATATAGTGTAATTCTTCTATTCTTCATATTTATCGTTATGCAACAGATTTTAGTTGAAGTTTTTCTAAAAACAGAAAAAAAAATAATAATAATAAAATTTCAAATCTATCTTTCGTTGTATGTAGTCAAAAAATAATAAAACCACTACAAATATTGGTATGTATATGATAAAAATTAAATGATAGTATCTCTTAGTTTTTTTTTTTCTATTTAATATTATTCTATATTTTAAATGAAAGATCAAGTATGTATTACTGCTTCGTTAGAATCGTTTAGAACAAAGAGATCTTTTTTTTTTATTATGCTTAACATGTTCATCAAAAATTAAAAATAGACACGTAAAACATATAGTTTTTAAAGTTTTAATTAAAATTTGTATCTCAGTAGTAGTACCAATATATCTACAGGATAGCAACTTCTACTTTGAGAAAAATGTTATGAGATCAAATACGTATATTATTTAAAACTTCTAAGTTTGTGCAATTCTTCAAAGCTATTTATCGCAGCATAAAATGAATATCAAAATATTTCATTTACCGTTGTTAAGGAATTTATCAGTTAGTTATCAAAATTTTAATAGACTCTTTTCGATCTTCAAAAAATCTCTATATCTAATACAGAAAATGTTTTCGATCTTTGGAAGTCTTCCGCAATGTCACAAACATCTAGAAACTCTATATTTTTCAGTTTTTAGTAGTGTTTGTGTAGAAAACTAAACTAATGACAAGTTAAAGTTTTGGACACTTCTATAGATCAGCGACACCGAGGTACCCACACTCTTTGATGTGTCCTGTAAAATAGATCAATTAATGTATAGAATGTTATTAATCTGAAGAATAACTGAGTTTTGTGCTGCCTGTCACTTCCTGAATGAAAATAAAGCATAGCCTACAAATATATAGTTTAAATTTCTGTATTCCATCGCAGCCCGAAGGTCTAATCTTATTACATTTTCTTTTTTTTTTCTTTTAAAAGTACTTTTATCATAAGATGAATGAAGTGACACTTATACATTTTACTATTCCCCGTTATATGACACTTTTGTATACATTTTCACAATCACATATGCACTCTAGTGAGGTCGCCACAGTTCATAAGGACCATTGGTTAATAGATAGTACTTGTTTATTTATTTCGTACCAATAATCCAATTCACTTTTCTTATTTTTCAGATGCATTATTATTATAAAATTCAATAATCTAAAAAGTTTAGTGATTAAATATGTCAAGTTTACTACCATCATCATCTCAAATGAATACAAATATAAGTTCTGGTACTGGTACATTACAACGTTCATCAGTAAATAATGCAGCAGCAGATGCATTACGAAAAAAAATGCAACAATTACGAGATGAACTTGAATTAGTTAAAGATGATTTAGAACGTTCACGTAAAGATTTTGAAAAAGAACGACATGCTCGTGAACTAGTAAGTTTAATTTATATTGTTTTTCTTTTATTTCAATTTTTTTTTTTTTTTGTAAAAAATTTAGGCTGAATCTGAAGTTAGTCAATTAACGCGTAAACTTCATTCATTTGAAGAACAACTTGAACGTACAGAGGAACGATTAATACAAACAACAAATAAACTTGAGGAAGCATCGCATACAGCTGATGAACGAGAACGGTTAATTTGACATTTTTTTTGTTATAAAAAAAATATATATATATTATTTTTAATGTATTCTAGAACAAGAAAAATGTTAGAAAATCAATTAAATCTTGGAAGTGACCGTACAGAAATGCTTGAAATACAATTAAAAGAAGCTCGTGGACTTGCTACAGAATCGGATAAAAAATATGATGAAGTTGCACGAAAACTTTTAATACAAGAAAATGAACTTGAAAAAGCTGAAGATCGAGCTAAACGATCAGAAATGTAAAATTATATGTTTTACTATTAACAAAAAACAAAAAATACTTTTTTTTGTCTTTTAGGAAATGTGTTGATTTAGAACATGAAGTCAAAAATCTTCATCATCAATTAAAATCGTTTTTGGCTCGTATTGATGATGTATGTTATCAAAAAACAAATTCTATTCTATTATTTCATTCATTTATTTTAGGCTCAAAATAAAGAACAAACTTATGAAGATCAAATTCGTCGTGTTTCCCAACATTTAAAAGATGTAAGTGTATTGCTTTTTTTTTTGTTCAAAGACTTTCTTGAGAATAAATTTTAAAAAAACAAAACTCAAAAATTAGGCTGAACGACGATTAGATCTTGTATTTGATCAACGATATAAACTACAAGAATTTGTAGAAGTTCTTGCAGGTATTCAATAAATAAACGAGAGAATGAGATATGATTTTTTTTTCTTTGCTGTGTATTTTATTTGCATGGTTTTTATTGCTGTGTTGCATGTATATAGGCTGAAACTCGTGCTGAATATTCTACTAAACAAGTGCAACGACTACAGCGTGAAGTGGATTTACTTGAAGGTTTGCTTTTGTTTGTTGTTGTTTTTTTTTGAATGTAGATTTTGGTTTAATTTATATTGAAAAAATATAGAAATGCTTATATGTATTAGTGATTTGTTTTATAAATAGATGAAATCTTTCTTTTTAATTGATATTGAGTATAGCATGTATGAAAAAAAATTGATATTTAATCGAAGACTATCGAATAGGTTTGATAAAAGAATCATAATCAGTGACAGATTCAATAGTCCAATATCTCTCCTACAACTAATACTAGCTGAAGCTCTCGACACAAGACCAGATGTATGTCACAATGTAGTACCTTTTATTTATTGTCAGACCCGATTACACATTTTTGTGAATTCGCTGCTTCCCAGATGAGAAATCTAGCAATAAGATATAGCTGTACGTTGAATTATTTTCTTCAGAGAGTGGTGAATAAACCGCTAAAACTTTGATCCTCTACTTGTTCATGTATACGAAGGATGACACGTATTGATGGAAAAAACCTCGGGTTTGTATCCGATCAGGTTTGGATCCGCAGCTCCCTAGATCCGAGACAAATAGCTGTTAATGACTTTTCCAGAATTATTTCATGTTAGATGGTGCTAAGGTTTGAGCACGGTATCTTATGGATACATGTCGATCAACATAGCCACTCAACCATGACAACTTTAGAAATAAGGAGCATCGATTCAGTTCGTCTGACGAGGTAACTATATCGTTTCAGCTCATATTTAGCCCATCAGAAAGTCTCGGTAAGATTAGAAAAGACTCGCCCCTAGATGCCTTTATAGGATATTCTAACGAGAGAATCATCCGAGGTGATATCCTTTGTTTGAGATGAGAGCCTAGTCATTACGTAGGGCCTATTGAAACTAGAAAGATTCTTTTCCGTGCGCTGCCATTTTGGAGTTATGACCGTTATACCAAATTTTTCACCTTTGTCCATAGACAGCTGTTGAAGTCATTAGAATCTTCTAAAAATTTCAACGACAAAAAAAACGTGATCTCCTCTCCAGATATCGAATCTACAAAAAAAACAATGATATTCCATCAAAAGAATAGAAAATCTAATGTATTTAATCATAAATCCAAAATGTATCATCTCGGGTGGTTTCCCTCATAAGGTTCATTAAGCCCATCTATCTGTGAGCGAAATGCTATTATTTAATTTTCCAGTGAATACCCAAAAAATTTAGTAAAATAATCATAACTCGGCTTCAAAAGCAAATAGGAGAACGAACCTTCATAGAACTTTTCTACTCTTATCAAGAGTTTCTAATGAGTCCACTCAAATGATTGGTTATAGTTGGACTATTTCTCTTATAAGTAGATTAGACTCGTAAAAGATATACAAATTGATTACAAGATAGACATAATTATCTAAGACATACTTTAAATATTTCACTTAATCTCTTGTTTTGCAATAAGTTAAGCTTCTACGCATAAAATTTTGTATTAAAAATAGATAGACGATATATTACGTAAAACTCTTTGCATCTGACACTTAGTACGTAGTACAATAATCATAAACTTCTGAAGGGTGAAACCTATGTTCGAAGAGATGTAATTTAATTTTATAAAGCTTAAATATATTTATTTATTTATTTGTTTTGACTATTTTAGAAGAATTACAAAGTGAACGTGATCGTTGTAAAACTCTCCAAAATGAAATGGAACGTTGTTTTTCTGATTTACAATTACTCTAAGAATACTCAACATTTTTTTTTTCACACATCTCTTTGTCAAACATTCATCGTTTTTCTTTTTTTGTTCTTACATTACTATTAGCGTACAATATCAGTTCGCCATTTGTCAATATATTCTTTCGTGTGTGTGTGTGTGCGTGTCATTTCGCTTTTTTGTTTTTGTTCTTAATAAAGTAATCACGTTATTATCTTGTACTTCAGATATTCTTTTTGTTTTCTCAATTTTTCTTCTGTAGTTATTATTATGTTTTAAAGAAAACGAAGAAAAAAAAATTTATTCTTTTGATTTGTATGTACAGGTAGCAGTATACTTAAACCATATATATATATATGTATATCTTCAGATGTTTATACAATCATGGGACGAATTTGCTAAACAAGCAGAACGTTTATATCTTAATAATCCAATGGCTTGTCGATTTTGTTTAAAATATCGAAATGAAAAACTTATACTTCGTTTAACTGACAATCATACATGTCTACAATATAAAACCAAATATGCACAAGATTTAAAAAAAGCTGAAAAATTAATGTCAAGTCTCTTACGACATATGGCATCAAAAGAAGCATAAACAAAAAAAATAACCAAAAATATTTTTATCATTCGTCTTATTGTTTTTTTTTTTTATTATTATTATTGTTCCAAATAAAAAAAATAATAAAGACAAAGCCGATGATGCAAGAAAATTCAAAATTTTTCAAAAGGATAAAATATATCATAAAATTTCACTTGTCGTTTTTTGTTTTGAAGTATTCATCAAAGAAGAATTTGCTCTTGTTGTTTTATTTTTTACGACCTATGCTGTTATCGATTCACACCTTGTATTTTGTATCTTGTAGTCTCTCTCTTATAACAAAATGATGATTTAGCTAAAATGATTGAGACAAGAGAGCGAGAGATTGATAAGAAGATGAACATGAATATTCGTTTTTTTTTTCTTTCATCCTTTTTGAATGATTGATCAATGAAGAAAAAAAATATATATTAAGTTTATTGATTATTACATGAGAAGAGAATGAGCATGGTTATTAACAAGCAATCGACTAATGATGCATAAAAAAAGAATGATGAATTTTATATTAGAAAGATAAATGACACGATGATGCGATCAACAAAGCCGACATTTTCAATCGTTGTATATCATTGATAAAAATTAATATTCAAAAACAAAACAAAAAATTATATTTAAAATCAAATTTTATTATATCTCAATAAGTGAATCGAGTGGATTCTTAACTTCAAGAAAAATATCATAGGAATGACACTGATATGAGTAATGCCGAAGTGTAAATGAAGTTAGGACAGTTGAAGGAAATAATCTTCATTTCTCAAATTTTTCATTTGTACAAGATTGAAATTCTTGAAGTTTATAAATCTATGATCATGTAATTTGGTAACCATTTTATTATCGGATCTTTTTCATAAGACAATGAGTCTTGAAATTATTAACATTTTTTAACTAACGATCGAAGTGAACAGACTTCGTAACATAAAAATTGAAAGTCCAAGTTCACATATTTAAACATGATATCGAAGACATCATTGACAAGTATAAATCTTTCTCGTCTAATAGACTAAGCAATGATTTAACTGCTATCACTCAAAAACTCTCTATAACTCCAAGACAACACTGAAAAACAAAACATAAAAGGCGCTTCGAATTTGTTTCAATCCTCAAAATCTTTTTTTTTTACTGTAGAACAAGACCATTTCGCAGGTACTTGTACTTTACTGTTTGTACACTAAAGCCCGTCCAGTTCAAAACTTTCGGAACTGTACTTTGATATTTCAATGGAATTTCCTAATTGAAATTGGAGAGTCGGATCGAAGATATGAGATACTTTTTCTCGGATTTTTTATATTCGGTGACTAGCGCATTCTAGCCATTTCTCAGACGACTAGAGTCCATGGCGTTAAAACATTTTCGGATTCGGTTGGGTCTGGAATCTGTTATACATTGGATTTTTCTCTCTTAGCTTTTTGTTTTGTTGATACTCTGACAATCTTTTTGTATTACTCGATTTTTCTGCAGATTTGATACCTTGTGTTTTTAAAAACTAGTTGTATATAGCTCATGATTTGTTTATAATAAAAGACAACGACATAATTTTATTTGTAATGATTTAAAGAAAAAAACACAAGACAAAAGAAAAATCAATATTTTGTACAAAGTCCATCGAATTAAGTAGTAGAAGAATCATTGTTCGACTAGAATGTGCGATAAGAATTCAAATAAGAGATAGTTTAAATTTTGCTTTTCTTTTTTCTTTTTCATGTGCTTGTTGTTGTTGTTGTTGTCGATTCATTCACTGAATTTGATCTAAATGATGCTAAACCCATAGCTGGTAAAGCAAAATTAATTGAAGGTTTTGAAGGTGAATATTGTTGATGATTTTGTTTTGGTGATGAACTAGATGATGTTGGTGATGATGCTGATGAACATGAAGTTGTTGTATCTGTTGAACCATTCAATATTTGAGATGGAGGAGTTGATCGAACTCGAGCTGCAGCTAATCTTACAGCAGCCGCAGCTGCTAATGGATTAATTGAAGGTAGAATTGGATTACTTGTTGGTTGTGTTGGAGAAGGTGGAACATAACCTGATGCAGCTGCTGCATAAAAATAAGAAAAATATGAAAATGGATCACCAGGATAACCTGGCCAAGGAAATGCTGTTTTTTGTCTTTTATCTTTCATTCGTCGATTTTGAAACCAAACCTAATATATAAAAATTAAAAAAAAAAGGTCTTCTTATTTTTGTTTTTTGTATATGATGAAAAAATTTTATTTTTTGCTTACTTTAATTGTTGATTCTGGTAATTGTAATTCAGCTGCTAATTCACAACGTCTTGGTCGACTAACATAATTTTCTCTAAGAAATTCTTTTTCAAGTCTTGCTAATTGCTCACGTGAAAATGCTGTTCGATATCGACGAATATTATCATCATTAAGATTTGTATTATTATTATTATTATTGTTATTATTAATAGAATTATTAATTGAAGTACTATTCAAATTGTTAGAATCATCTTTAGAAGAAGAAAAAAATTAATTAATTTGTGTTTTTTTAAAATTTTCTTCTTACCATTATCATCCGAAAATATTTCATCATGAAACATTCTCGAACTACTTGCTAATAGATATGTCGACGGATTACTACTACCTAACATTATCAAATGAAATATTCGATTATCTCAATAGCAGACAAATCTCTCTTTTTCTTTCTCGTTTTTTTCTTCTTCTTCTTCTCTTGACGATTATTCGTTCTATCAATGATTGTAAGAGAGCAAAAGAAATTCTATTGGTTAATATTAAAAAAAAAAAGACATATCTATAAACAATGACTGGTCAACAACATTTCTATTATAAATGATCAAGTTGATGAGACAAAGAAAGCAAATAATTGCTAATATCATTAAATATAGAATGAACGTGAGGTGTGAACAATGAAAAGCATAATTAACAGTTTACTTCTTCTCGTGAAAATCGGACGAAAGTAAACAGATAAGACTTTGCATGAATAGTTCAGATGAGACAATTTATAAACAAAAAAAAAAAAAAAAAGAAAAAGAAAAATATTAAGTCGCGAACATAAATGTCGTTGATTATTTTCGTCTTCTTAAATGAAAACATTCGATCGGATGCGACTAATTGGCCTAACATATAAAAAAATAACTACTCCGCCCTATTGACAAACGTTTGTCTCTTTCTATACAATATACACGTGTAGATATATATATATATTAAATACACGCGATGGTTATATGTACCTATTTTACATTTTTCAAGGGTCAATAAACATACACATTAAAATGACCATCATCCCATGGCCGCCAGTCACAAAAATAGTATGTCGTTAATCAATGATAGATAATCACACGTTTTCAAATGACCCCCTACTAAACAAATTGATTTTTTTTTTCTATTAAATTGAATTCAAATATGCTTATTATTGAAATCGATTAAATAAATCAGAGCAAACAAGTATATATATATGTAGATGTGCTTACTCGCCTTTCTATTCGGATTAATTTCATATGCCATTTATTATTCGAATGTTGTTATCAAAAGATCAAAGTAGATAATAGTAAATAATTTTTCATTCATTCATCTATATGTTCTGATAGAAAAATTTTCGGGATGATTTTTTTGTTTCATTTTTACTTTGCACGTGATTATCATTCTGCGTAACAGAATAATACAGGTTGAGTGTCTTCATTTTCTCGACATTCTACTAACATGCAAGGAAACCATTCGCACATCAGTACGATTGCATTTGTAATTGATCGATCAAGTATAGCATTAATTATTAAATTTACTTTTTTTGTGTTCATACCTCGATATATAACAAAATTCGATTCTTTTATATTATAATAAAGTTTTAAAATTGATTTGAACAAAAAAAAAGAAGATCTGCATGTAAATGACTTCAATCATTCTTTGTCACATATGTGTAACAATTATAAAAAATAAGCACAGCAGTAGCATCAATTCACTTTCACATGTCAATATTTTCTTATTCACATCTTCTACTATACCGCTAACGATTCGCGATCGATCATTACAATCGAATAAAGATAGATAAAAATAAAAAAAAAAAAGAAAAAACATAAAACATACGGATAAATAGATAAAAACTTTCTTCAACAGAAGAAAAAAGAACATCTCTTTTACTGTAAATTGATCATTATAGAAAAAAATAAAAATACATAAATATTGTCTTTCTACTAGTTCTCTTATTTTATATGATATACATATTGCGCGATATGATAACAGAGTTTGAAGTTTCTCGATTAGTGTCTATTATTAAAGAACATGTTATAGTCGTTTATACTACCGACTAAATCTCATCTAATACATTGACATCTGTTTGAGACCTTCCCATAATAGTACCTCTTCTTCTTCTTCTTTTTTTTTTTTAGTTGTATATTGATATGTACTATTTTTAAGACACAACTATGAAAAAACAAAAAAGGTCAAATAAGAAACTTACTATCGA